ACACACACACACACACACACACACACACACACACACACACACACACACACACACAAAACAGATTTTTTTTAACCCAAGGAGCGTCCTGGGTTCAGCACTGGACAGCTCCCTAAATTGACGCACAGCTTCAACACTTCCACTTTTTTTTTTCCCTTTTTTTCCTTTTTACATCTTTATTTTGTTTGCTTGCTTTTTAGGATCCTACTAACAGTGGTGGTGATCTTCCGGATTCTAATCGTAGCAATAGTTGGAGAGACAGTCTATGATGACGAGCAGACCATGTTCGTCTGTAACACCTTACAGCCGGGCTGCAACCAGGCGTGCTACGACAAGGCGTTCCCCATTTCCCACATCAGATACTGGGTGTTTCAGATCATCATGGTATGCACCCCGAGCCTCTGCTTCATCACCTACTCGGTGCACCAGTCCGCCAAGCAGAAGGAGCGCCGCTACTCCACGGTGTACCTGACCCTGGACAAGGATCAAGACTCCCTGAAGCGCGACGAGAGCAAAAAGATAAAGAACACCATAGTGAACGGAGTGCTCCAGAACACGGAGAACTCCACCAAGGAAGCCGAGCCGGACTGCCTGGAGGTGAAGGAGATCCCCAACTCGGCCATGAGGACTACAAAGTCCAAAATGAGGCGGCAGGAGGGCATCTCCCGGTTTTACATCATCCAGGTGGTCTTCAGGAACGCGCTGGAGATCGGCTTCCTGGTGGGCCAGTACTTCCTGTACGGCTTCAACGTGCCGTCCGTGTACGAGTGCGACCGCTACCCGTGCATCAAAGACGTGGAGTGCTACGTGTCCAGGCCCACGGAGAAGACGGTCTTCCTGGTCTTCATGTTCGCCGTGAGCGGCTTCTGCGTGGTGCTGAACCTGGCGGAGCTCAACCACCTGGGCTGGAGGAAAATCAAGACGGCCGTGCGCGGCGTGCAGGCTCGGCGGAAGTCCATCTATGAGATCAGGAACAAGGACCTGCCGAGGATGAGTGTGCCCAACTTCGGACGCACACAGTCCAGTGACTCTGCATATGTGTAAACAAACAAACAAAACAAACAAACAAACAAATAAGATGGAACGAGACGCCTGAATTATGTCATGACGTTTTTTTTAAAGTGGGCAGATTTGAATATTATTATTTATATTTTGATTTTTTTTAAATTCTGAGTTTATTTATGGACTTCATGGCAAGCGTGCTCTCCACGTTTGTTTACTTGGTTATGATTGCACTGATGCAACTTTTTTTCTTAACGTTTGTACTCTGTAAGATGTGTTCACAGACTTACTCTTTGTGGGCTGTTCTGCTAAACTTGAAGAGAGCAAATGCAAATGCAAAAAAAAAAAAGAGAGAGAGAGAGAGAGAAAGAAAGAAAAGAATATTGCACTAAGGGGTGAACACTTGAGAGCCTGATTTTATCCAAATGTGCTACTGACCTGAGTTTTTCTTTTATTTTCCACRCATTTTTTGAAGCCAACTCTATTAAGGGTGAAAAAGAACCCATTAAACAGGATAAATCCCATCCAGATTTCTACAAATCTACAGATCCTTACCATTGTTCAATATAAAATACATCAGCTTGACTCTTTGTTTTTGTTGCCTGTGTCGCACCACTGACCTTAATGTAACCATTCCACTGCTTAAATAGCTAACTTTGCAAAAGAGTATCTGGTGAATTTTGCTGCAAAATGCTAAACGTCTGTGACTTCCTTAATTTAAGACACACCAAAGCGCCCACTGCTTTTATTTGTGAGTGTTTTCTTGCTTTCTTTGTGTAATCAAGTGCCATACATGTATATAAAGA